TCTCTCTCTCTCTCTCTCTCTCTCTCTCTCTCTCTCTCAAGTTCTTGTTTCACCACAAATATGATTTTTTATTTTTATTATTTACATATTTGTATATTTTAATCGTCAGTTGCTAGAGAGAGAGAGAGAGAGAGAGAGAGAGAGAGAGATGCAAAATGAGTAAAAGCGGGAGACAGAGTGGGAGAGAAAACATAGGCTGGAAGAAGGAGGTGAGGGTAGGCAGGAGAGGAAGAGAGACGGTTAAGTAAATGAGGGAAAGAGAGAAGGAGAAAAGAGAGAGAGAGAGAGATGAAAATAAGGAAGAGGAAGGGAAGATGTCAAGTATATGAAGAAATAATGGATTGGGAGAGGAGGTGAAATAGCAAGAGAGGAATGAGGGAGTGTGTAGGAGGGGAAGAGGGAAGGAGGGAGAGAAGAAGGGAGGCGAGGGAGTTAAAGGGAGAGTAGTGGTAAGAGGTCAGGGAGGGAGAATTGTGGACACGGGAGGAAAAGATGGCAGACAGACAGACAGGAAAAGAAAGGTACAGCAAGAGAGACAGAGACACAGATAAAGACAGGAAGAAAGAGAGATAATAGAATCAAACAAATTATCAAAGAGAAATAGGATAGACAGACAGAAGAATGAATAGAAGGAACAAAAAAGGAGAGAGAGTTAAAGAGAGAACAAAAAGGGGAGATAGGGATAGAACAAAGAGAGAGAGAGAGAGAGAGAGAGAGAGAACAGGCCAGTTTTCCGCTTTAATCCCCACCTCCAGTAATATCTTTTATCAGCTCTATATATAGAAGCTATCAAAGCTAAGAATGAAAACAAGGAGCTTCCAGGTTGGGGAAGTAGGTGAGGTACTAGGTAGGGGAAGTAGGTGAGGTACTAGGGAGTAAGAAGAGTCATAAAAAGGCACTTTGCTCTACCTGTTCTCTACAAGTACTTGAGTAGTACCCCTTTAAGTCAGTCTCTCCTCCTCCTCCTCTTCTTTCCCCTCTTTCCCCCCCCTCTTCCTCCTCCTCCTCCTCGTCTTCTTTCTTGTCTCTCTCTCTCTCTCTCTCTCTCTCTCTCTCTCTCTCTCTCTCTCTCTCTCTCTCTCTCTCGCACACAGGACTAACTCCCCCTCACCCGACCCTCACTGAAACCCAACAAGCACACGGAAGCTGGAATCCAATTTAACCAACGCTGGAAATTGGGGTCCTTTCCACTTCCCTATTTCTCATATTCCGTACTGTTATCCACTTCCCTGTTTCTCACATTTCGTAATCCTTATACTGTCTTTCCTTCATTGTTTTTAATCCTGGTTTATTTACTATTTGAATCATCCCTATTATCGGTACACCCAATGCTGGAAAATGGTTTTTGATCATGTCTCATTTATCATATTCCCTTCCCTATTTACTTCCCCTATTTTGTCCTATTAACCATCAACTCAAAGGTCGACCCTATTACCCAAACACACACACATCCTATTTCGGTATCACATTGTTTTTTATCCGCTATTGACGAGACTAATCCTCTATATTCAGATCTTCATTTGTTTTTGTTCATATATATTTATTGTCGACGAAGAATTCAATCCTCTATATCCTGATCTTCATTTGTTAAAAGTGTCGGTCATCCCGGAGAATTGACACACGACTCCATAAGAAAGTGGAACTGATGGATTTGTTGTGATTAGAACGGACAAGGAATGATTTTTTTTTTATCTGTGGCTCTTTAAGGGATGATCGAACCGAGTACAAGGTTTAATATTGTACGTGTATGCCATGAAGGTGATGAAGAAGTAATAAGTGTTTGTAATAGGAAGATGGAGGTATTAAAAAAAAGTATTTGTATCACCTGAAGATTACACAACTCAGCTTATTTCAAATTATGATTAACCACCCTTATGCTAACCTAACCTAACCTACTCTGTTCAAACTTAATCTAACCTAACTCCTCCTGGTAGATGAAATAAGCTAGGGTGTTTAATCTTCATGTGGTCCAAGTCGTCTTTGTGCTTATAAGAAGATATTGATCGAGAGTAACCCAGATGTGTCATGTGTGATAAATGACAACTAGCTCTGTACTCGATGCAGACACACACCTCTCTCTCTCTCTCTCTCTCTCTCTCTCTCTCTCTCCTGCCCTTCAATCCAGTTATTAGATTAGTTATTTGACGGAGACAATTCCATTATACCAACACACCTGGCGAGGTTAACCAATAACACGAGGTTAATAAACAAACCGTCCAAGCGAGATTAACCGATAAATCGCCCAGAGTCACTCATTAGGCCTAGAGTCGAGTAATTAGGAAGTCAGGGTAATTACGGTAAAGGTGTAAAAGCTAATTGGAACTCTACAGCCTGTCGTGTGTCTGGGAACACTTCAATATACTTGTTGCTTCTGCTACTTAGTGCTCTTAATTAACAACTTGGAACGCGCGTATGTCTGTGTGTGACTGTGTGTGTGTGTGTGTGTGTGTCAGTCATTCAACGTAACTAAAGTCAAACGTAAACAAATCCATCATAAACCAACCCAATGTAAACAAATCCATACGAACCCAATGTAAACAAATCCATACGAACCCAATGTAAACAAAGCAGAGAATTTTATCCGATGGAAATTTGTTTGATACGATTTTTGTCCAGTAGCAAAGTTGTCTGATGTCATTTTGTCCAAAGGCGAAAATGTGAAACGATATTCCTTGCTTGAGGTATTTTGTCCAGTAGCAAAGTTGTCTGATGTAATTTTGTCCAAAGGCAAAAATGTCCACTCGCTTTTCTTACCACCAGTACTAATGCTTGGCGGGAAAGATAGGAGTGTTTGCTGCGTCAACACAACTCACACTGTCAATATTTACCTTGCTGAATTAGACGTGCTTGTGGGTTCAAATGAAGCGTTTAGGGTACAGTACAGTACAGGAGGGGATACGAACACACCGGTAAAGTAAGTAAGTAAAAGTTTATTTCTTTTGACTTTTAGATGTTTCTTTCTTTTTCCAAATTGACGTTTTTTCTGGTTTTAAATGAAGCGTTTGGGGTACAATAAATATATGATGGATACGAATATATTCATTATTTCACTTTTTTTATTCGGAAATACTAATCATCAGTAAACCCAACCCAACCCTGCCCCGTCCCCCCAAATAACGTTAGGGTGGTTAATCTTTAGGTAAAATAAATTCAGGAAAGGAAGAATCTACAGATAAATCCTAACTGATTTATTTTAATACCTAAACGTGACGTTGTTGATGGTGGTAAGTCGTACACATTGTTGACATAAATCCAACTTTACGAGAAGATAAATTAGGCTCATGATTTAAAGCCCCGTGTGCTGGTTACTGTGCAAGAGAGATTGGGGTGGAATTAATAACGTGCATAGGCCTATTATTATTTTAGATATGGAACGTTCGATTTTCGATTGCAGAAATACATCAGATAAGGAATACAGTACAAAAATCAGGGGGAATATGATATAGAAATATTGTAGATAGATTAAAAAATACAGTAGATAGATTAAAAAATACATACAACAAAGTCTAGGAATACAGTACATTACAAATACATAAAGAGAGAATAAGTAGGTACAGGATATACTCAAATTATACAACAAAATACTGAAATACGGTCGATAAAACACACACAATACAAAACAATATTCAGAAATACAATATCTGTGAAACTTCTATTTAACAAACTTTCATCTAACGAACTATATAGAGAGATGAAAGTCCGTTATATCAAGGGTCCGTTACATGTGAAAACCCTCCAACTAACTATATATAGAGAGAAGTCCGTTATAGGGAGGTTTCACTGTAACTATAAATACAGTAATACAGTAATACAGTACACGAAATACAGAGACAAGCGAGGTGAGGAAGAAATCAGGTGACAAGGGGTGAAATAGGAGCTGTGGGGGGAGGGGGTGTTCATTACTAGCTGGCCAGGTAAACCCTCTTATAGCAAGGCCTAACAGCTGATCTACCTGGGGGGGTGGGGGGGGTGGGGAGGGAGGAGGAGAGGAAGTGGGAGGTGAGGAGGGGGAGGTGAGGAGGGGGAGAGAAAGGGGGGAGGGGTGGGGAAGGAAAAGGGAATATCCAGGCTATGACGGTGTTCGGGTTACGTGTAAGGGGGAGGGGGGAATATAATCTCTCTCTCTCTCTTTTTCTTTTTTCTTTCCTTCCTTCTTTCTTTCTTTCTTTCTTCTAATCTCCTGTGTGTGTGTGTGTGTGTGTGTGTAGACTTATTTTACCCAATAATAATCTGGGTCAAGGATCTATTTCTGTATACTATATATTCACCACAGTATCAGCTCCTCTATATGTTACTCGACTCTATAGCGGTCGAGCTGGTAAATACAATACAACAACACACATTCAAGGCTATGTACTCGACCGTGACATCTTAACCTGCCCATTACCTGTCCAGTCATTCCTCGAAGGTCAGCACACTTATGAGATCTAACTCATTCCACCAGTTGGGGGTAAAAGATTAATGTGTAGTATACAGATTTCACATTCTTATTGGTATTCTTTCACTGTTACCCAGAATGTTTGAATGTTTATTGGATATTGTAGCGTGTGTGTGTGTGTGTGTGACCTAGAAAAGTTGTCAGTAGTTATATTGGAAAGAAGTGCTTCCTGTACTTGATGACCTCTGACCTGGAATGTTACCCACGAGTACTCAGACTTGTTACTGTGTCCTCTGTGTACTGTATCTTAGTGGTCTCCCCTCCTCCAGGTGACCTTGCCCTGACCTCTACTCCTCCAGGTGACCTTACCCTGACCTCCCCTCCCACAGATGACCTTAGCCTGACCTCCCTTCCCACAGGTGACCTTACCATGACCTCTACTCCTCCAGGTGACCTTACCCTGACCTCCCCTCCCACAGGTGACCTTACTCTGACCACTCCCACAGGTGACCTTACCCTGACCAAACCATAGTTGACCAAACCATAAAATTTCCTTCATGTGACCTGACCCTGACCTTTTTTTCTTCGTCAGGAGACCTTACCGTGACCTCTGCTCCCTCAGGTGACCTGGTGGAGAAGTCCCAGGAGAAGGTGGCGCTGCAGGACCTGGACTCGACGGCCCTGGAGCTGTTGGTAGAGTACTCATACACGGGAGAGATCATCATTACTGAAGACAACGTGCAGGTGTGTGTCTCTCTCTCTCTCTCTCTCAAAGGGTGCCTCAAGGCCTTAGCTATTGAGGCATCCAAGACAAAAACAACAACAGTAAAATTAATAAACAACAACAATACCATCCTGTAAAAAAAAATACAACAAATTGCCAAATTATTTTATTCTTTTTTTCTGATGTTAATACTAAAAGAAAATAAACGGAATTATAATATTTTTTAGCCATGTGTTACCGTTGAATTTAATAGAATGAGAGTAATATTTTTTTCTTCAATTAAACAAAGGTAAAAGTAATTCATTGGTCCCATAAAAGACCTTTTATTCTGTACTTTGTCTTGTAATTTTTATATGTCAAGCATATAAATTAGAAACCATTGTAGTTCTTTTATGATAATGTACAATAATCGATAGTTGTTCTGAGTTAAATAATCAAACCCACGCGAGGACCATCTCCTTCAGTCTCTCCTGTAATGAGATTCATAGAAAACTTTTTGATGCCTAGGATCGTAATTTTCGTCCTCATCTTGGTTGGTAACAATTTAGGAGACCAGATCTAATAGAGTTTCTCCTTATCACTCTCCTTTATCTGAGACATCACTCGGGAGATTAAGATCCCGAAGAACGTGTGGGCTATCTCGTGTCTCTCGCTGCTGAACGTTTGGAGATATGTGGAGATAACTATTTAGTTTTAAGGTTTCTGTCCCGACTGGCGAGGTTGAGAGCCGCGCGTTTCTCTGGTGTTCCATTCCCTATTTTATTCTGTTGCCTCTGATGACCTGATCTGACTCTATCCCTTGAGTACGACCACATAACCCCTGAGTACATTACCACTCCTATTCAAATCATAGATCATATTGAATTATTATTGAAAGGTTCGAAATATCGTACTCAAGAGGTAAGTCATCGTATTCAAGAGGTAAGTCATCGTATTCAAGAGGTAAGTCATCGTATTCAAGAGGTAAGTCATCATACTCAAGAGGTAAATCATCGTACTCAAGAGGTAAGTCATCGTACCCAAGAGGTAAGTCATCGTATTCAAGAGGTAAGTCATCGTATTCAAGAGGTAAGTCATCGTACTCAAGAGGTAAGTCATCGTACTCAAGAGGTAAGTCATCGTACTCAAGAGGTAAGTCATCGTACTCAAGAGTCTCCTGTGTCTGTCTCTCGTTTTCCCGTGGACTTTGGGTGACATTGACTTATCACTTGGCTGTTCTTGTCTTGTGTTCAGTGCTTGTGTGTGTCTGTATTTGATTATCTCCCCTACAGCACACTGAGAGACTCTTAGCTAATTTTGATTGTATGTCTCCTGCTAGTGGGTCTTATAAGAAGGTCATTCAGATGCCCGTCCCTTATAACACTCTTCAAAAGTGACGGTGCTTCTCCGAGATATACTGGAGACTCAGTTAATTGAAAACGTCCAAAGGAAGACTACCAGATCGGTGCCTGCACTAAGGCACCCCAGTTACCAAGAGAGATTAAAATACAGTACCTGCAATTACCTAGCTTATAGTATAGACGGGCAAGAGGTGACTACTGGAAGTTTGTAGACACCTCAGAGGACGTTACTCTGTCAAGTGTCCATATCTGGAGCTGGTAGATGCCTGCGCCACTAAAGGTCACAGCTTAAGGTTGAAGAAGCATCAAGTTAAATAAAAACTTATCAGGGCTAACTTTTTCGGAGTGAGGGTTGCCAGAGAGCATTGTGACGTGCTCATTCAAGACCAGACTTGACTAACACTGGCCTAGATACAGATACATCATGGAACCAGTACAGGACTTGCCAATAGTGCGCAAGAGACGTAACCGACTACCCAAGCGGCTAACAAGCTAATCAATGGCGCAGAGGATAAAGTAAAGTACTGTATTATCAGTCTCCATGTCTTGCTTTCTCTTCCAACCCAGTGTCTCTGTCTCTCAAGCAATGTGTTAAAGAGACCCCTGAACCTTTCTCCCGATATCTCCGTGTCTTTCTAAATAGAATAGTTCGGCTTTCCTCCACATTACTTACAAATGAGATTTCTATATTCATATATTTTCATTCCATCCGCGGTGACGATTTTTCACGTGATCCCATAATTTTTCCACAGGTGTTGCTCCCGGCGTCAAGTTTGCTGCAGATGGTGAGCGTGAGGGAGGCGTGTTGCAAGTTCCTCATGAGGCAACTCCACCCCTCAAACTGCCTCGGCATCAGAAGTTTTGCAGGTGGGCATAGAATGGGTGAGGGAGGAAGGGGAGGAGAAAGAAAAATAGATGGAGAAAAGAGAAGAAGCAGATGGGAGAGGAGAAGGAAATTGATGAGAAGGAGAAAGAGTAGAATATGAAGAAAGAAGAAATAGATGGCAGAGGAGGAGGAGGAGGATTACGATGTGAATGAGAAAGGGTAGAAGATGGTGAAAGAGAAGTATAGATAGTAAGAGAAAACGGCTGTAGTTAACTTCTTTGGCCTGTATAGACTCTCTCTCTCTCTCTCTCTCTCTCTCTCTCTCTCTCTCTCTCTCTCTCTCTCTCTCTCTCTCTCTTCATTATCATAGAAAGAATTTATAAATATATTTTATTGTTTGGAAAGAGAAACAGACACTAGGGCAAATAAAGAGAGAGGTTGAACCAAATTTATAACAAGAGAGAGGGGGGCGCCTGAGTATGTAACTCGGGAACACTACACAATACAAGACTTTGCTACCTTACGAAGTGTTAGGGGATTCCAGAAAGTAGAAAATCCAGTATATCTAAAAAATATATATTTTAGGAATTATTGTTAAGTTTTGAATCCTCTGGGATTTCAAGACGGTGAAGAAAAAACTATCTTTTCTTTATGGTGTGGACTCAAGATTGGAGTAACTTCCGCAGCTTTTAGGAGTTCTCTTAAGGTAAAAGGAAATATAGTTTATCAGAAATATTTGCCTTTGCGTGAAAAAGTGGAAGAAACCAACTTCTTACACAAAATATTTTTTTACTCTGGTTTGAAGTAACTGTGGAAGCTTTTAGTGTTGATAAAACATTAAGTTTTATTGTTAAGGAGGGCACTGTATTAGAATATGAATGGCATTACTACTTTCTAAACTTATACTGTACAAAACTCTGAAGAGGTGAACAGTTAATACTTGTACTATACTGTGCAGTATATAAAAATATCTCGACATTGCAAAAACTTTAGAAGGATCCTGTAAAAGGGCAAATCTTAGATACAGTGTTTTCTTGAAAAAATATTAGTGATATTTATAGTTTTTGATCCTTTTCTCGATATATAAGAAGGTAGAAACGTTTTATTCTCACTAGAATTAAGGTAATTCTTAAAGCTTTTAGGGATCCAGTCATGGTGAAAAGTATTTAACTTACATAAAGGTTAGTAGAGTACAGTATTGTAGTGCAAAATTAAGGCAGAGACTTTTAAAGCTTTCATAGATCATAACAAAGATGGAACAGTCAATGTTCAGTTTTACTAATAAACATATTAAAATTAAAATTAAGCAAATTTTTAAGCTTTTAGGGATCTTATACAGTTGGAAGAACATTTTGTTTCGTGAAAAATGTTGGTGTATAAACTTGGTTAACTTATTTTCAAGCTTTGGTGTATTTGATGGTGAAAACATGTCACGATGTTGACTAACCTTTGAAGTAGATTTTGGAAGCAGAAAAGGGTCATCTTCCCACCTCAACACTGAATGAAATAAGGGAGACCGCTCGGTTAATTAACTAGACCCCATAGGAGGTAATTAGATCTGTTAAATTCGTAAGTTAGCTCCCAGGGTAAGTAAAGCCCCAGAGTTAGTAAGTTAATTCACGAAGTTAGCCAGTTCACCCATAAGTTTATAATTTAGACCTTTCAGAGTAAGAGAAGTCGATAAGATGATAAATAAAGTGGAGATTAGGCCCCGAGTTTATGTCACCTAATGATAAAACACCCTAATGCTACCAAGGGGATTAGATTAGGTTAACATTAGGCTGTTTTAATTATTAGGTGAAATAAGCTGAGTAGGCCTAATTTTTACATGATTTGAAAAGTCAATAGGATGATAATGCTTGGTTCCTCATGTCCACTCGCCTGCCAACAGATGCCCACAGCTGCGGGGAATTACACACTCGCTCCCACCGATTCGCCCTCCAGAACTTCCCTGAAGTGTGTGGCACTGAGGAATTCCTGTTGCTGCCATTCAAACAGGTAAACAGACCCATTGTTGTCCTTCAAATAGCCAAACAGACCCACTGTTGTCCTTCAAGCAGATAAACAGACTCCGTATTGACTCATTATTCTTTTTCAAACAAACAAACAGTGGTGAAGAGGATAAAGTTACCGGTAAATGGTTTTTATGGTGAGGAAGAAACTAACATTGAGATAGTTCCAAGGTCAGATCTAATCAGTAGACACAAACCCAACCATTAACACTGTGGTCTCTAGGGTCTACTTGCTTCCTCTCCAAAGAAGATATCTAACCCTTGCACTCCTTATTTTCTGAATGTCCATGATCCCTTAATGTGACTTATTGTTGGTAAAATCTGAATGTGTTTCCTTAATTTGCATACTTTACATATGTACAGGTCTTGTATCTGACCTCCATCTTTCAGCTTACTTGTCTGTTTGAATAATGTTGAAGACAAATAAAATAACCCAAAAACATATATTTTCTGACTCCTTGTGATGTACTTGTTGAAGATGAAAATAAGTGCTAGATGATGTTGCTAATTTTGCATAATGTAGGATTTCTGTGGTACCCTGTACTGTACTAACCATAGATTGCTAATAATTGTCTCAGTGATTCCTTCAACATGAAGGCCTTAGGAACCATTTATTGTATAAAGTCTCACGATTTCTTAATTCATATGAGTTGCTTAGGACAGTACACTGTACTGTATTAAGTAAACTCTGGCACGAGACTTCTTGCTTTTTATATACCGTATCCTTAATTTCTTTAAAATTAAGATAAATAACTCTGAAAAAAACATTTATTTTCTGATTCCCTAGGACCCTTATACATTACATATGTGTGTGTTTTGAAAAAGATATGAAGAAAGGGCATTCTTAATGTGTATACAGTAATATATGATATTTCAGCACCGACCTTGGATAGTTGGTGGTTGTCCTCTTTAATTCACATAAATGGAGATAATAACTTTAGTAAACCATTTTAATCCCTAACACATATGATCCCTGGATGTGCCATTCAAACATAAATTCGGTAAAGAATCCAACCCGAATTTCCATATGTTGCATATTTTTCAACTTCTGATATCAGGATTCAATCTCCAATATACTAATTTTTAAGCCCTATGACCTCTATATGTGCCTCTTAAATAGGGAGTCCTCTTATCAAAATACCTTAGCTGTTAGCATCTGACCAGTGTTTTGAAAATGCTGTCTCTCTCTGTAAGAATATTACCTCTCTCTTATATACAAGTGAGTGTTGCCTCAGTCTCTCAAAGAATGGAACCTGTTTCTATTATCAGTAAAGACATGAAACCTGTCTCTTATCGGTAAGAATGTGAAAGCTGTCTCAAGATCAGTTCAAGAAGTAATCTTCATGTCTAATTAAAATTTATAACCTCTTTTATTTTCATACGTGTTTACATAACCTCTATCTGTTTTCCAGGTGGAGGAGTTGATTGCATCAGCACAGCTAAATGTCCCATGTGAAGAGAAAGTGTTCACTGCGGTCATCTCCTGGGTCAAGCATGACCTACCCGAGCGTGAAAAACTCGTGCCTGAGGTGAGGGAAGGAGGATGTGAAGATGGAGGAAAGAAAGGAGGAGGAGGAGGTGAAAATGGAGGAAAGGAAGGAGGAGGAGGTAAAGATGGAGAGAAAGAAGGAGGATGAGGTGGTGGAGATGGAGGGAAGAAAGGAGGATGAAGTAATGGAGATGGAGGGAAGGAAGGAAGGAAGAGAGGTGGAAAAGGAGGGAAAGGGGGGGAGGAGCAGGTAGTGACGAAGGAAGGGGCAGAAAGCTATTCTCAGCTGAGTGAACATAACCTACCTGAGCATTAGAAACAGATGCCAGGGGCGACAGGTGAGGGGGAAGAAGGAAGAAAGAAGAAGGAGAGACAGAAAGATGGGTGAAGAACAGAGAGGGGAGAGAATCGAAGGAAGGGAGAAAAGTTGAAAGAGATTTATAGATGAAATGAGAAAAAATATGAGAATGAGAAGACGGTAGAGATAAATTTAAGGTACATTTGAGGAATGGTAAGAGAAAGATAGAGAAAGAGATAAAGTTGTAATGAAGAGAAGCAAAGGGAGAATAGTAGAAAAGGGTATTCTATTATGATAATGTAGTGCCTCCTTATTTACATTTTGCTACAAGATATACATAAATACTATGTTTTATATAGAATTTTTTTTATTACACTGAGACTTGTAAATGTTGTTAATGTCTCCAGAGTTCATGACTATTCTCACTAGGCTCCAAGGTGAACATTAAATGGGTCCTTTTTGCATCTGTATTAATTTTAGTACAGTATTTTTTTTTCTAGCACAAAAAAGTGACTGATCTCTATAGTTTTGTTTGTTCTTTTGGCTTTTATTTCCTTCATAACATAATTCTTCTCCCACAGTTGCTGAAACATGTACGCTTACCTCTACTGTCACGGGACTTCCTGACCTCCAATGTGGATGCCGAGCCACTGGTGCGTGAGAATTCATCATGTCACCACCTGCTGTTAGAGGCACTCAAGTACCACCTCTTACCAGAACAGCGAGCCACCCTCACCTCACCTCGCACCCAAGAGAGGCAACCTGAGGGAGTCAAGCCCTACCTCTTTGCCTGTGGTGAGTTGATGATGGTCTTGGTTACATGGTAGGTAGGGCATTTTATATGAATTAAATGGTGAAATAAAGCACATTACATCAGGCCCAATGGATTCCTGGTATTCCAGAAGTGGTGAGAAAAGAGGTGGAGGGGCTGTATGAGTTGGAGGATGAGAGGGGTGACTTGCTTGGATGCAGTCATTATTGAATTCACTGACATGGAACCTGTTGTATATTCCTTAACCCTTTGACTGCTATCATTATCTTTGGATGATTTACCAAAATCACACCATTGTTGTCTTAAGACAGTTGGCATTTGGCGCCATGAATATGAAGGTGTGCTCCAAAAATTATACTAAGAATGGAAAGTCAATGATTGGTAGACACTCCAGAATGAAACACAAGGCTGGTGGAGCCTCAAATCAACTTACTCTCATCATTTTGGAATGATTTGGAATTATTTATGCCTCATCACACTCCTCCTGTCCTCAGTAGTTGCTCACCCACACCTATGACACCACACCCTGGCTCCTCACCTACGTAAAGACTCACCACCCACTTTATACCACAAAAACCTGCCGTTGCACCACCACAACCACGTCGTTTTTCACCACAGCAGCAACCACGGCTCAGTAGTTGCCAGTTACACCTCTATCTCACTTCATAGACTCATAACTCGTTTTACCATGGTCACTGATATTTGATATACGCTTATTACCTATTGTTAATGGTTAATAAATTAAAAATAAAGTAAAATTCATCAAAAGAATGCTGAAAAACCTGTTTGGTGCCACTCAAACAAAGCAGACACCTTATGGGAGGGCGCTTGTGTGCAGAAACAATGCTCAAAAGACCCATGCAGAGTTTGTTTTCTTGTGTTCAAGTGTTAAAATTCCCTCATTTTGCCAATCAGTGGTGGTACAGTATGCTCTAAAAAGTATTCTTTTTTTTTTATGGGGAATAGCCCACCCGGGCACAGGTTGTGTATGTATGAAGAGAATGAACATTCAAAAGACCGAAACATGTTCATAAAATATAATGTTTGTGCTGGATGTTAAAAAACCTGGATCTGCCTGTATTTGTTTATAAACAATTTTTATTATTTGTACTTAGGATTTACCAGGTTAGATAAAAAAAAATTTATTAAATGGATATAAGATGTGTAGGATAACTCACTTTTAAGTGAGCATTTTTTATGTGGTACTGTACTGTATATGGTTTGTCATTTGTTTGGACATATTCTTGAGTCACAAAGGCAAACTCAAACTTTCTTTCTAACTTGTTGCCACAAATCTGCCATTTAGCATCTCCCAACACCACTTACACTCCCTCTAACACCCTGCAGCCTCACTCACCAACTCCTTCTGTTACCTCTAATGTACCATCTAACTCCCTCTATCCTGACTAACAAAACTAATACTTCCCTGGAGCAGGTGGAGGCAGTCTCTTCGCCATCCACAGTGAGGTAGAGTGTTACAACCCCCGCACCGACCGTTGGATGCCCGTAGCCTCTATGAATTACAGAAGGTGAGTGTGTGTGTGTGTGTGTGTAACAGAAAAAGAGGGAGAGACATTATGTGTAAGAGATAATGTGTGTTGATGTAGGTTTGTGTGTGTGTGCCTAAATGTTCATTGAACATACAGTACAATATACCGGGATGTACATGAATGCTTGTGTAAAAGTACATTAAATGTGTGTATACTGTACTTAATTTCTCCCCCACCCCCCCCAAGATCTCTTATTCCAGATAAATAACCTCCACAATCACTTACTCTCAATTTCTTCATCATCTCCATTTATATAGCCCTACCCTGACTGCAACAAACCCCGCTTGTTTTTGCAATTTCCTACCTCACCTACACCCGAAAATAAGCTACCCACTCTTTTATATTGCACTAACACCTTGTAACTTGTCCCCATTGTTCTATAGGTCACCCGACAACAAATCATAGCTGTTCCATCTCTCCCTTTTCCCATTAAATTAACACCCCCTTAGTTTCCCTTACCCAATAAGAGATTACCTCCATCACAAACCCTCCATCCAATCCTATCAAATAAACACCCCCTAACTTGATCTCCCCTACCACAGGTCACGAGCTGGGGTGACATCCCTTGGGCGGTACCTGTATGTCATGGGTGGTTATGATGGGGCGTGTGACTTATCCTCTGCAGAGATGTACAACCCAGCCCTCAATAAGTGGCTCAATATCACTTCCATGGGTACCAAGAGGTCCTGCCTAGGTATCGGTACCACCAACGGTCTCATCTACTGTGTTGGAGGTATGTGTTAATGGGGATGTTGGAGTTTGGAGGGATAAATTAGTGGAAATGTTAGAGCAGGTGAGATGTGTTAGTAGGAATAATGTAAGTTAGGAATATCATTTTTGTTAGAAGGTTGAAGGCTTGAGGTATGTTGTTGTGGGTATGTTAGAATAATGGTATGGGTTGTTTGGGAAGTTACAGGCTGGAATTATGTTAGTGGAGATGTTGGAGCTCTGTGTTGGTAGGATTTTTGATAGGTCTGAGGTTAGTGGGGGTTGCATGTTGCATGATAATAAGGAGGTTGTTTTGATTAGGAGTCCTATGAGGGATAGTGTGAGGGAATAACACAATGATGTTGGAGATGTTTTAATTGTATTGTGCTGGAGGTAAAATGATTCTGAATATATGGTGTTAGTCCACCTGTTGTTGAAACCATTTAATACTAGTAATAAAGGGCCTTTAATCAAGCCACAGAGATTAATTACTGGCTATAACATTAGAATAGTAAAAGTATTTAACAAAAGAGTATGTATAGAGGTGAAAATTTTACAGGTAACACTTGGGAATTCATTGGCATACCTAGGTATGATGTCTGATAGCCAAGGTGAGCCTAAGGGGGTTGAGATTACAAGGTTAATATCCTGGCATGTTTACAGCATACTGTATATACAGTACCTCTCTGTATTTTTTTATAATAATGTAATGAGTCCCTATTTAGTCAGAATAAGGAGAATTTATTTCCTCGTCAAGTTTTTATTGATGAAGATATATTAACACACATTCTAAGCATTTATTATTACCCCCATAACATGCTTGTCAAACTACTAACACCACCAATTTCACATAAAGACCTAACCAATTTCCACTGCCTTCCATTAATACCTTTAAACACTCACAACTACCCACTGTCACCTAATAACACCTTGGGACACTCACTGCCACCTACTAAGAGTTTCATAAACACGACACTTACCTATAAGACCTGCCTGCAGGAGGTATCTTATCTTTACCTTAGGTTATGATGGGGCATCATGTCTGAGTAGTGTTGAGAGATATGACCCACTGACGGGATGTTGGACTTCCTGCCCTGCCATGGCCACACGTCGACGGTACTGTCGGGTTGCTTTACTAGGTAGGTTCCTCTTAGGGTGAGTATGATGTTTCTAGGTGAATCCTGCTTTACCCTTCACCTAAGATAGTGTCTTACTTTTAGAATAAAAATAAATTGGTTTGCTGTTGTCAGTAAATTGTATGTAAATACAGTACTTCAGTTGATGCTCTTTACTACAATTTGTAAAAGGAGACCAGTTGATATTGTAAATGTAGGTGTTAAGGCCACTCCTCAGTTGTAATGACCCCTTATGATAGTGAGGTAATTTACTATAGATCATTGGTTCAATCCCAGAAGTATCATAAGAACTAATTATTGCCTTGCCTAGTTATATTAACTTCATATCTTCCAGATAACTGCATCTATGCCTTGGGTGGCTTTGACTCCACTAACTACCAGTGCACAGTGGAAAGGCTGGACCCTCGAGTGGGCAAATGGATGTCTGTACCACCCATGATGAGCAGAAGAAGCAGTTGTGGGGCAGCTATATTAGGTGGAATGCTATACTGTATAGGTGGGAATGATGGCACAATGTGTATGTCATCAGCTGAGAGGTTTAACCCGAGGAGAAACACTTGGGAACCAATCACAGCAATGCATTCTCGAAGGTGGGTGATGATTGGTTGATGAGAGGATGTATAACTTGCCAGAAGTGAGTCTGTTACTGCCATATAATCCTAAATATAATTAATGAGTATCGAACAAGTCTATGCATTTTTCTTGTTTTGCTTATTATTTCAGTTAAGACTAGTTCAAGCTTTATCATATATTTAGTGGAAGGAAGTGAATCAATCCTCGACCCCACAGCCTCCAACCCTGGTGGAGCTGGACAATTTTTAACATGCCTACATCTGAGATAACTGCTGATGCTATTACAGATGTAGATTAATTAAAAGGCTGAGAACCATTACCACATATTAAATTTGGTTTAAAGATTACGGTATGTATACAAACAACGACACTTTCCTCGACAAGAGAGCAGAGATTAAAATCCTTTTTAGGTGCCATCAATTTATTAGTTGGTATTATAGAAATGTTGTATAAGAATAAGATGATTAATCAGGATGAAAGTGAGTTCAGTCTTTTTTTATTATTACTCATTCATCTTTTTACAGTGAAAAGGATGCTGGTCACTGGACAACACCCTTGTGACATCTCACTCTAAATTGAATCTGGGTTGTAGTGGTAAAAAGCACTGCTGTACCACCAACCAGTGGTGTATGGGTGTGTAGTCTGTTAGAATTTAACTATGTAACCAGGACCAAGCATAAAAGTATTATTCCTCAACAGATCAACACATGAGGTAGTGGAGATTGATGGGTTTTTGTATGCATTGGGAGGCAATGATGGTTCCTCATCCCTCAACTCTATGGAACGCTATGACTCTAAACTCAACAAGTGGGTCCTGGTCACTTCCATGCTTTCCAGACGGTAAGCAAGACAAAAATTTTCTTACATATTAGATGGTCATCGAACAGTTTCCTGGTGTCCAAGAAAATATGGTATAACTCAGACAAATTTAGGCATGATATATTTGGAAAAAATATGATTTTGATGTTATGCTTTATTTTTGTTGTTTTCAAACTACCCTGTATTTTATTACCATAATTTTTATAATCATGATTTTGATCATTATCAGATACCTGTATTATAAAAGACTGATTTTTCCTGTATGAATCCACTGTGTCCTAAGATTTTTTTTAGTCCACCAACAAATGTAGCTTTTATAATATTAATTGTGTGTGATCTTGACAAATTCATCCAGAGTCTAGGTTGTACAGTACACAATCCTCTATACAAAATGGTTGTAGCTTGAGATCCATTTTTAGAGGATACAGTATTAGTTGTTATAGAAGGCCCACATCAAGCCTATATGGTGTAACTTGTATGGTAAAGGTCTGCCTATGATGTGATGGCTCCTGTGCTTCACATGATGGAGGATAATGATAACAGAAAATTTGTTGCAGTAGTTTTTTATGAGTTAATTTGAGAGTATGTGAAGCTTAATTATAGCCTGGTGTTTTCAGTGGATAGCTCTGAGTAAGGCTCTAATGCTTAATGCATTTTGCAACCCTTCAGGAAGGGAAATGCTCTAGTAATTCAAGCATGGTTATTGCTATGTGTATCTTAGTCATGACAAATTATTCTAGCATTTATTATTCAATGTTTATCATTTACTGTGCAGTACTCTGCTTAGCTATTTACTTTTTTTCTGTAGCAGGTCCTTAATAAGACAATAGAATACAGTCATGCCATTGACCAGATGACAACATTGCTACTTTAGAAAAATATTAAAGTATCAATAATATAAACAAAATTAAGAGTACTGTACCTGTACATGTGCTTCTTATAATTAATAACCAGTGTAAACACTTCTCTCTTTATTGGTGTAACATGGTTTTAGTTTTATACTGTATATGTACAGTACTGTATAGTAGTCTCGGGTTATTTTGCAGTTTTGGGCTTTTTTTTTTTTTTTTGCATAAACCTAAATGACTACCATTTTCTTATTCGGTATGCAGTACAGTATTGCAAGAAGGTTTTTATTTAGCAAAAATTGCTAGGATGGAAGGAATTTGAATTTACCACTGTACCAACATAACTACCATGTGCATGCACATCCCCAGCTGCAAACATGGTGTCACTGAACCAGTGCTCACTTAGAGTTAAGGACACTCACTCCACTCGAGTTTACCACATGCAGGTGTGTTGAAGGCAGACTGGCGTCAGGAATTGAGTCCAATGTGTGCTGAATCAGGAAAACTGGATGGCGGATGTACATGTTAACCAGCAACTTTAGGAAATTTTTCTATACTACTGTACTGTAGAAGATAGAACATGTGTAAGGCTATCTACTACAACACAGTAGCATGTGAAAATGATATAATACAAAACATATTCCTTCGTATTTTTGGTGGGCTTTTCATCGTGTAAAAAAAACATTTATCTTCTATGGGAGAAATTTCCTCAAGAGCTGGTTAATGTTCACAACTGTCATCCAGTATTGTCACCAAATCTGTGGGACACTGTGTTACTGTGATGTATTGTGATCAAATTTTTCCTTGACACTATAACAGAACATTCTACATTTCTTGTTTACCCAGGTATGCTTAGTAAGTAAATAAACCTATTAAGTATTTTCAGTAAATTTTTTTGGCCTCCAGGTCCTAACCTCCAATTTTGTATTGAATTACTATATGTACAGTGTTATAGTATACTTATATCACAATTATTTACTTCACAAAGCTCCTCAGTTCCTGTCTCGTGTAATAATCCGAGTCTACTGTGTTGTTTATACTGTATTATGCATATGAATATTAATTTTGTCTGAAAATATCATTTTCAGGAATTGTATTCCGATAAAACACAAATATTTCCTACACTCACAAACTTGAGTCAGTGATGTAAAAGGGGTTTAATTTACTGTATTGCATTGCTGTAAGTAAACTTATATTATGTCCTGTTCTTGTGAATGAGTTGAGTATTTTTATTTTATTTTATTTATTTTTTATCATCTGAAATGTACTGTACAGTACAGTTTACAGTATTTTCATTCTCAATATTTTTATGTTAGTATTTGATTAATTTTGTGGTGCTTTTTTCTGCATACAAAGATTTCATGGTATTCTCTGGCTTAACACACTTCTGAAGAAACCTTTATGTTTTGTTTTGTTTTTTTCACATTTTGCAGATCAGCTTTACAATATGTAAAGCCTTTCAAGAGAAAATGTTTCTGCTTTGCTTTTTGCTCTACTGTATTTGGGGTATTTTGTCTTGGTCTTCATATTTAACTAGAATTTAAACTTATTGTTAAGGTGAAATTTAGTAAAATGATGGCAGCCACATGCCACTAAAATATGATGTGGAGAATGCAGGTTCACTTTAACTTATTTTATTTAGAAATTATCCATCTACAACTTTTTGATGAACCTGAGAATTAAATGTGTTAAATCACAACCTTGAAATACTGTATCAGTTTGGAAGTCATAGGTGTCAGGTTCAACAAATGCACAAGCCTGTTCTTTCAGAATTTTGAGTTGAAATTGAACTCTCTCTCTCTTTCTCTTTTTCAAATAATGAATATTTTCAAATCAAAGATAAAATAAAATTGCTACCTTTGCTAAAAAAGTAATTAGTTTTGCATCGAGTTTTGTCTGAGATTGTAGTTTGTTGTACAAGCAATCTCAAGTTTAGTCTTCAAAGGAGAGGAAAGGGAGAATAAAGGCACTTTGGCTCAATTGGTAATTCCTGTGGCCTTTACATATGCCTTACATATACACTGTTTCCTCCAAACTGACCAACGGGATATTTTTCCATTGATTCATTAGTAGAATTTTATCAACTGATATACAAGTTCCTCCGTTGCACTTACTTTTATCCTCTTCGCCACTGATCGGCTCGTTAGCCGCTTGAATTAATATGATATGCAGCAAAGGAAGAGAGAAGGTATTGTCTGGATTAGACAATCAACGAGCTCTCCTTTCTTCACATGGCAAAGACTTCTGTACATTGCTTTCCTTACTTCCCTTCTTCAGATGATGAAGGGTCAAGATATGTAGACTCAAACACATCTACCCATTGAAAATACTCAAAATGAAAATTAGAGCAACCTGTTTTCTTTATTCTGATCATTAAATAAATGGTTCACATCTGGCTGCATACTCTGAAAGAGCAAGATGAAATACCCAAAAGAAAACAAAAAGCATCCCTTCAAAATGTTTACATATTTTCCTGCTGAACTATCCTATCCTAAGGAACTCACTTTCTTTCCTCTTATCCTATGATTATCACATCCATCTATCCAACAGATCGTCGGTGGGGGCGGCAGTGCTGGAGTGCCACATGCCAGAGAATGACCTGGCATCCACTGTGACTTTATCCTTTTATCCATCCAGCTACCCGAGAAAATGCTGTACATAGGGGCTGAGGGTAAACAGTTGTGTCTTTCTTTTTTGTTTGTCTCTTTCGTTATCCCGACATGTTATATCATGTTCATAGTAGTTTGGGTCAGAGGGACAAACTCCTCTCTCTACACACTTACTTTTAGGGGACTCAGTCTCTCAGCTGACTGATATTATTTTCCCACAGGTCCTCAGTTGGTGCTGCAGTGTTGGACTGTCTACAGTTAGAGAGGGGACTGACCAAGTCTACTTGACAGGTGGATCGTTACCCATCTCTCATGTCTTAGGTCACCCTGGGTCATCTGAATCATTCTGGACCAAAGAACCTAGTCATTGACCCTTAGGAACATATAGATCTCTGACCTCACTTAGGTCATCGTCAATAGACTTTTAGATTATCTTTGGATATACCCCTGTAATAGTCTTCAGTGTGGGAACTTTACAATCACTTGTCAAACTAGTCATACATAGATTGATTTTTTTACCAAATGTGTCATATCAGCTACTATACCTTGAGTACTGATTAGTTAGTTAGTCACTTGTGTATCACTAATCAAGCTAGTCATTTTCTATAAGTACCTTGTACCTAGTCAGTTATGCCTTCATGAACATCCACTTAGCTAAACAGTTAGTTGTGTAATTGATAGTCAAATTATCAATGAAAAAGGCAACATGCCAGACCAGTGGCTTTTCTTCATAATGCCTGATCAAGCGAATATTTCTTTGAATAAGAATTGAATCAATTGCAAATTTGTTAGAGTTTGAGAGTCAAATGTCTATCTCTTGATCCACTTTTTGTAGAGATTCATCCATACCGTTAAACTATTGACTTTGTTGGTTAATATCCTAATCATGTCTTTCTCTGTATATTAAACACTTCGTTTCAATGGTTAACATCATAATCACAGGTTTCCCCGCACACTAAAAAGCACATGTACTAATGAAAAATACTGGTTGCCCTCATTTATACCAAGAATTGTATCCCAAGATAAGGCCATTATCAGCTAAATCTGTATGAACAAATAAAGGTTGTGGTTACACAGCCAAATTTGCATACACTAATAGCATCTTAGTAATTAAGTACAGTACTTTAATGAAAATTTGATTTAATTAACATTATAGATCGGTATACTGCACTCTACTCCTCAATTCTTTTCATCGTTTCTTGCATGATGGGAGGCTTATGATAGGCCGGTGCCAATGGTTGCATGAGGAGAAGGTAGTGTAAGGTTTTCAGGGTCATCATTGAGTAGTGGTAGAGTCACAAGTAGTGCTACTGCAAGCCAGAACCATGGAACAAGCAGGTGTACTGGCAGGGATACTAGAGGTGCTAGCACCACTGGCATTTCAGGAAGAAGTCTCAAGAAACTGTGTTTAACCATGCATTCTTTCTCTACAAAGCTCATTATAGGCAGAAACACTTTATCATCCCTTCATGGATCACATGAACATTGAGCATGAGGTAATGAGCTAGCCTTTTCATTGAATACTAATTCTGTTATATGGAAACTTCTTTGTGCTCTGGCACCTCCTCTTCCTCTAGTTGTGTCAGCTCTTAACAAATCCTTAGGAGTCAATTCTTCAGCATACTTACAAGGGTAAATGTTATGTAGTACTTAAATGCAGGAACTACAGGGGCCTGAAACTACAAGAAGTTTTAGAAAAAAAGTGACTGATAAATTGATAAGGGAGAAAGTAGACATGAATGAAATGTGGTTTGGATTTATGCCAGGTAGGGTAACAACAGAGACAATATTTTTGGACAGGCAGCTACAGGGAAGGAGAGAAAATTTTATTTCATATGCAGTATGTAGACTTAGAAAAGGCATTTGACAGGGTACCACATGAAGTAGTAAAGAAGGCACTTAGAGAGTTAAGAGCTAAGAGTACATAACCCTTTGAAGAGGTTATGACATTATATGAGTACTCAAAAACCTTGGTGAGAGTAAATAAATTATGAGGAATAGATGGTGAAATTAGGGGACCATCAATTGTGCTTTATTCAGTGAATCTGTCTTACACAAACAAATGGTAGGATTTTTACTCTGTATTGAATAACATGAGGGTATAAGGTGGGAAAAAGTGAGGTAGGAAGGGAGAGAGGTGGCGGTGATATGCAGCTTTATAAGTACAAACCCTGGCCCATTATAAACAATATATGGGCAGAAAAATTAAGCAGCATATGTGTGTGTGTGTGTGAAGCTGGCTTAAATGAGGGCACACAATAACTTTCAGAACTTATTAAGAGTGTTATGCTAGTCACAGTTACCCAAAACATAGGTTCATTATTTCAAACCTGTTAATTTTGTGTTGATATAAATCTTGTGTTTTGTACATAAAAAGGGATAATCACTTTACTCATGTTGTCGCTTATATCATCTCATTTAGAAGATTATATGAGTTTTATTTTTTATTTATCTTATTTATATATTTTTATTTATATGTTATTTGGTGGAAACATGTATATTTTATGTACATATATTTATATTTATTGCCTGTTATCTGTAAATGATCTAGACGCCGAGTAAAATGCCGGCGCTGTATTGAATAGTGTTACATGATGCATAGTTTTATTATATGTGCATACAAACTCTATTGCAAATTAAATATCACAACTATGAATTGAAATATCAGAGAAATATTTTGCATACCTATAACAAAATAATTTTTTTCCATGAAATTGGGTGTTCTTATTAATAACTTAAATGAAAATTTTAAGGAATACAGTATTATATATTTTGTACATTCTTCACTTACTGCATTAGCTATTGCCTGTTTAATGTTACCCCATTCTAGGTGTTTCTTGTATGATAAGCTGCTTTATGATGCTTTGTGAAGGCCTTGATGATAAAATAGCCTTTGAGATAGCCAATATTGGACTATCAAGGTTGTGTGTATCAAAAATCCTCCCTGTCTATGATCTAGTTAGCCATGTTCTGAATAGCAGGGAAGCTTGTAAAAAAAAGACTGAAACAAAAAAGCTGAAAACAAATACTGTATCAGGATCTGGACCTAATTTATCTGAAAATGCCTTATACCTGCAGACAGTACATTGAAAAATTACTACAGTAGGCAAATTTTTTAATGACGTATTGTGACTGGTGAGAGCATTACTCAGTAGACACATCTCACAAATCAGGATTTAGGTCTTGTGTGTCTCAAATGCCTTATACCTGTAGTGACCACAAAAAGAGATTATAGCAAGATATTTTGTTCTGAAGATAGAAAACAAACGAAGGTGAGGGTTTATTTAAATATACTAAGAAAAGTGATGAGATGATATTCACCATGATGCTTCTTGCTAGTTCATGCATAATAATGTTGATTTTGGGTTGATGTTTTAGATAATCAGAATTTTGACTAGCCAGGTCATGGATATTGGAGGAGCTTGTGATTACACCAGAGCAACGTGCCTGAACCACACGCCACTGCCTCTATACTGCCACACATGTCCTGGATGCGCTGTGTTTATTTATGTCGCATCTGCTGATTTCAGCTGGACTTTGTGATGAATTTTTCACAGGAGATTAAAAACTGAGATACCCGTAACTCAAACTTGCAAATGAAGGAGACTCCTCACACCATTGTCCTATAATTCAGTTTTCATGTTTGAATTTATGGGACCAGGGATAACATGATAAGGAGTCATACATTGAAAGGGTCTCCCATACAGGCCAGACCCAATAGACCCTTACTGGTGATTAAATCAAGAACAAGATCTTTATATTTTCAAAATGTACTTTTTGATCCCGAATTACACTTGCATCATATTGTAATCCCTGGGGTTGTGGTTTTAAGGCTTTTTCACACCACATGTCATATAAAGGCAACTATAAAAGTTTCCTAAAGTTCACAAGTATGTGTTTGGCTTTGTAAATTACTGCATAATGTTTAATGTTTTCTAGGCAGTGGTATACATCTGTCTCGTTTGGTTTTAACTACATTGATGTTAACAGGGTGTTTTGATTATTAAAATACCCTGTATAACTTTTGCCTCCATAGTGTTGCACTTGGTGGTGTAAATAATTTACCATTTGTAAATTTTTTTCAAACTCCATTTACCAAGTCAGGATGAATATGTATGACTGTAATTACCCATCTTGATTTGTCGAGGGCTTGTGAACATTACTTTTTGTGGACTGCTGAAAACACAAGGGATTAAAGATCTGTATCTCTAGTAAATGTTCAAAGTGGCAGTGGTCCTTCATATTTACATGGAATTGTTCAAGTGGCAGGTACAGTCACCCAGATGGTAGTTGAAGAGTATTGTGACTGTTTTAACAGTTACCGGTAATATAAATTTTCTTGATCCTCTATAAAAAGACAAATTCTATATTGGTATAGATGCACATAATCGAGGAGCAAAAACTAGCTTGTGTCCTCAAAATTGATTTGGAAATTTGATAAATCAATAAGGTGACATTAACTGAGTAATAATGCTCTTGAAATTCTGGAAATTCGATGTATGGTAGTCCATGAATCTTGTGAGGGGTTTGTTTCGCATCATTGGTTTTATTAATGCATTGGATGGCTTGTTCTGCAGTCATTTTTTATTTATTCTCCAATATATCATTTAGGATATTTATGAAACCTAAAGCTATATTTATGCGAAACTTGATTCAGTATTACCTCCAGATACGAGGACAGTACTCTGATTGAGTGGTGAACGAGTCTTGTACTGTATATATAATGCTCTTAGATGATCTAAGATTTAGAATTTCAAAATGTAATGGAACTATCTTGTCAGAGTGTGATAACATGAACATGTCATTATACAGTGGGACCTCTTTTACCCGAAATGGTCTGACCACTTAGGTTATGGATACTGTACAGTTTACCCCCACCAATAATGGTTAATACATACAGTTACCCTGTCATGCAAGCAGTGGTTTTAATGTGTGTATATTCTAGGCATGTAATTATTGTAAAATAAGGTTTAAACTTACCAAAAATCCTCTACACATTTGTTTTCAACATGAAAATAACAGAAATGTGATAGATAAATGAAAATAACAGAAATGTGATAGATAAATTAAGAGTCATTTGTGGTAACTGAAGTCAAAGCAACACTTGTATCATGTTGGCAAATATTTTGCTTCTGTATTTTACTACAGGTAATATCACAATCACATTCACCTGCATCCAAAATAAATGTAGAAGAACATATAGGATCATTGATTAGTGTAATATTTAGAAACTTATTAGGAAATATGTGAACAATGGTACTGTAGTGAGCAAGTAGCTTATAAACAATGTCAGGCATTGCTTACTACAGTACTGACCACTGCACCTCTGTTTGGAATGGCCTCTTTTAAAAGTACCACAGTATTTTTTGACAGTGGATGAATTACTGTATTGGCTAATGAATGAAGGGTAAGACTACAAGAAGTTTTCAGATATTGAGTGTTTTCAGTTAATGTGCCAGAAGTTTGGATAAATAAGGTCCTATAGTATCTATCAAATGTCACACCAGTATGTTAGTATTAAGTCTGGGTGGCAGAAATGAATCCAGGAAAAAATGTCACAAGAAAAAAGGTCACAGAAATAAAAGGCACGGAAAACCTAACCTACGTGCAGTGCCATCATATATATATATTGTGTTGTCAGTGTGTACAAGTCATGTGACTTTTTTCCTGTGACTTTATTTCCGTTCACTGGCAGAAACATGTGTCAGAAAATATGTCAATGTCAGTAAAATGATCATTTCATATGACTCCCGGGTTGGCTGAAAAGATGTGGTCACTGAAATGCGTGTATATCTTTTTCTTTGTTATTTTTAGCTATATGTTCTTTTACCGCACAAAGAATTGTATACAGGTATTTCATAGTGCAAGTCATATACAAAACACATCACTGATAAGCTTACTAATGTCCATAATTTGAGCAAAGTTTGGCAGCAAGGGACTTTATCTCCATGATATGCAGCTTGCAATGAAGGCATTATTGCCTACCCTTCTAATCATATCCATAAGAATGTGTACTAATTTAGTGATTGTCTCACAGACCTGTGGGAAAACCCACTTGGCAATGTGATACATTTCTCAGGACATTTGTTTGTGTCCTCAGCCATAAAAAAGGATTTCTTACTCCAGTCCTTAATTTTTTTGTAATACAGTATACAAACAAATAAAATATTTTGGGGGGATACTTTGAAGTAAAATACAATTTAAAAATAAAACTTTTAAATAGTGTCTTCAAGAACAACACACTGTTTAGGTCTAAAATGAAATTGGCATAGATTGAAATATTTAAGCATATAAAGGATAAGATTTACTTATGTGCGACATTTATCTAAATTACTACATATCACTTGATGTAGTAGTACAAAGAGTTTGTTTCTTTTTTTGTAATGCTGTACTGGCTGTGGTGATATGAGAGAATTTAGGAAGGCTAGAAATATTATGAAATTAAATCTGGATTCTTATAGGTTAATGATAATTGTAGCTCTACATTAGTTCAAGGAGATGCAATTTAATCCCATTATGTGTGAAGGTGACGAAGAGGATATCAATAAAAAAAAAAAAAAAGTTGAAACCCAGGCTAATTCTCAACATTGACAGCTAGCACATGTATTAATTTAAACAAATAGGACAACTCCCATCACAGCCCAAGCTCTTGAAAGGGGTGGGAAGCAGATGTTTACCTGTTAAGACATGAGAACTAATTGAATCTTGGTGCTGCAGCAGCTCTTGCACCAGGCCATAGTACAGCTCTGTCTGTTTAAAGCAGGTCATTTATGGACATTTCCACTACAAAATACTGCCATATACACTGGCATATAAGACGACCCCCGAATTTTCAATTTAATGTTAAAATTTTAGGCTATACTCTTCGTATGACGGTTATAAAATATGTTACCATGGGTTACCTAAAGTGAAATATCTACTTGTACAAAAGAAAATGCCTTTCTTAATTCAAGAATAAAGCAAACTGGATAAAGTAATAGCACTTTTCCTATGCAAGTTTCTCTCTAAAGATAAAGTAAAGATGCCACATTGGTGCCAGCACCAGAATGTGTGGACGGTCTGAACACTTCATAGACAATAATAATGAAACTGGATTAAAACACATTGGGTGTCAGGCGACTCTCTTACTCTGTCTACTGTCATATGATTGAAGGTTCACAGTTTGCACTTGGCTTATAAAATGACCCCTAGTTTTAAGGGAATTTTTTTAAGCTTCAAATGTTATCTTATACATTAGTATACTTATCCATACCGGTATATGAGTGAAATTGTGTTTTGATCCCATATTTATCACTATGGGATATGCCACAAACAGCTTCACCTACAATTGCTGGTATTATGTACATAGTAATGTGCATTTCACTCCTTTATTATCTGGGTTGGCACCAACCTCACCTAAACTCCCAATACACTATAGGTAATTTATCCTCTCTTTCTGGATTGTATTTTGGTAATTAGCTGGATATGTGGTTTATTAGGTGGAAAACTCCAGTTTGAGATTGAACATGATGATGTTAGATGGAGGGACTCTTTGGAATTCTTCTCACAAGATAATAGTTATGCTCATGATGTTCAATATTCAGCAGGTAATGTGTACTCCCGAACTGTTGGAGCCTTAGGAAGCGGTTCTCCGATACCATTCTACTCACTTTAGTG